TGCTGTCAAGGACGCCAAGTTCAGCCTCGGCAAGTTTGGCGTTGCTGCCAACATCATCGCTCTCGGTATGTGCCACGTGCCTGTTTCCAATATATCTTCCCCTTCGCAATGCTAACACTGTCCAGCTTGGTCCGCCCTCGCCATGCCCCTCTTCTGCATGCCTGCCACCATCCCTGTCACTCTGACCACGGTCAACTACGCCCCCGTCGTCTTTGTCTTCGCAACTCTGGTCTCGGCCGTGTGGTACGTCATCTGGGGCCACAAGAACTACGCTGGCCCTCCTTCCAACGAGATGTACTGAGGCCAGGCCAACCAACCACTCCTCGGCCCGGATACGATAATCGATCTCAATGTCTTCTGATGGAGAGGACGATAATGAAGTTGAACTTTGTTTTGGGATACACGGGTCCTGCTTAGGTCTTAGCACCTGGGCCGGGCAACGAGGACGTAGGCAGGGATTGTGTTGCAGCCTTTTCTTTACATAGACAATTGAGATACCCCAATGCTTTCAATTAATGCTCTGGCATCAATATTTGTCGCTCTGTAGTGTGTATGTCAGTCCGCTTGAAGCTTGATCCGCTGTCGCGAGGCCTGCATTTAAAAACATGTGTATCTGCTTTGATCTGCCCCAGGTACTCGAGAAATGGAGTATGTCATAGCAAGCTTGAAGGCCAAACCTTTGGCAGGCGAATATCAAAGTCAGTTTTTGTGTATCGATTCTTTCCATGTATAGGCTCAGCAACTGCCTGGGGCGAACGTTTTGTTGGTAATTTCCCGGAAGTTGTGGCACCGCTCATTCGGACGTGTATATCGAGATCCCCAACCGCGTCAATGGGACATAGTCTGATCGTTGCGCCGGTATCCAGTATAAGCGTGCAACAGTCCGTGCCAGGTTTCTCCAATCGAAACTTTCGGAAAGCGAGAAAATGCTGCAGCGACTCGCCAGTGAGACTATTTCAGCCGTCGTAGCTGAAACCGAGACAACCAGTTGGGCCTTGGCCGTTATTACATAGCCCCCATGGATAGACAGGAACTTCTTTCAACTCTGAGACAAGACCTACTTTAGGTCGTTCAATATCAACAAGCTCCTCCTATGTGGATGGTATTAGAGAAGCCACCTTATCTTGGGGCGGGTGTCAAGGAAGGGCTGTGACTATAATATGAGGTCTCAAGTCACACAGCACGCCTTCAAACGCAAGAGAGCCTCTTGTATCGAGGCGAGTTTGAAGAAAAGTCAGTTGAGCTGGTCGTGCCTCGAGCTTTCGCGATCAGTATGGCGGAAGCTATCACTATTCACGATGAGTCAATATGAAGAGATCCGTGCTCTTTTCTACTAGAAGATGGCTCAATGAGCAGAACGAGGTCCGGCAGGAGGTAGATAGAGTTCTTTTTCCGTTGACCAGAGGACTTAGGAAGTGCACTGAAAAGGTATGTCACAGGAATTGTCCTTTAGGTGCTCCTACTATCAGAAACTCGGGTCCGGGGCTTCTTAAGCTCCAGCCTGTCGTTATGTGAGCTCTGTCTCGCCCTCGTAGCCCTTATTTTTCGTATCACGCCACGCATGCGACTGGAAGGAACATGGCCTACAGGCATGACATGTTTGTATTCCTGGCTGTTGTGGGAACCAACAGTGTCCGTGTAGTCATCGAGTGAAGAAGTATCTGTCAAGAGGCACCTACGGAGTCAGGTATCAGGGGGGCTTGGAAGGCTTTTTCAGAAGCTTGAGACCAAGGGAGCGCGCACATTAGGACTGCGGAGTGTCAGAAATCAGGGGCATCCTCGCCCCATAAGTATGAGTTGACTACGGATATCACTGGCTGAAGACGGGTTTGCTCTGCTCGTTCCACCGCTTTGATGGTATAACGACAAAAAGCTTGGCAGGTGAGAACAACTTAAAGGCCAAGGTCCCTGCTGAGAAAATGCACCATCTATAATTTCTAGGGAGTCAAGCCCTGGGCTGGAGTACGGCAACTGTGCCAAGAGGCAGTTACAGAGTCAAGGAGCAAGGTAGGCCAGGACTGTAAAGGCTACATAGGGTCTTCCTAGGTACTGAGGGCTAGATCTCACACGAGTTCCTACCCTATACCTGATATTCAACTGTGGATATCACTCACGAAGACGCCCTCACCATTCTCACCCATCGCTCTAATACTCTGGCATAGCAATGAAAAAAGAGCCTTAAATATCACGCAGCGCGAAAACTCACTTAAAGCCGCTGCAATAAGTCTGCATTTTGCAAAGTACCGATAGATTTGATTTGTAGGGTTGCATTGCTGTAGTCGTTCATGGAAGACATTGCTCCACCGCCTGGTCCTAAGAACTTTCGCCCTGCATATCGCGCAGAACGAAATCCACTTGACCCCTCCACTCACCCCGCCCAAAAGACTTGACTTAGGGCTTGCCTCGGCTATCAAACGATATGAATACCTGTAGAATCTTGGTCTGTCATGAATCCATTGGATAATGTATTGGCCAGGTGGTGGAGTGGTTAACACGTACCCCTGCTAAGGGTATCTCTCCGGAGGCGCAAGTTCGAATCTTGTCCTGGTCGTTCATTTTTGCCACTTGAACTATTGAACTCGAGACAGAATGTTCGAGGATCAATTACAATTTCATCGCGTTGATCTGACTTGCACAAATGCGTTGTTAGGAGGTGACTAAATAGCGAGCACACGAATGGAGGAAATCTCCATCCTTTTATACTTCACCCACATATAAGTTGCGATTAGTCATTTTTCACGATCCTCGCCCATACTCCAGGGAAATGTTTGAACGAGACATTATTGGCGCAGACACACGCTCGAATACTTGTGAATTATCTTGCTTCCACGTATATGCAATTCAGTCCCATGATGATCGTCTAAGCCACCTATTTGAGAGAAGAACCAACAGCACTTCAAAGGGCTGCCTTCACGCTATCTTGCATTTAAAACTACATGCTAAATCATACACCATGAGAGATCTGCCTCTTGATCTCGCCGTGGGCAGATGTAGATATTGTGTGCAAGTGAGTTTGTAGTCAAGCTGTAATCAAGGTTGGGTCTTAGTATCACATCCTCCAGAATCAGCAGAAGAAACATATAACAAACAATTGCGATATCTTTGAAAGCCGTAAACATTCAATTGCAGCATGAAAGTGTCATATTTACGGAGGACAGTGATGGTATATGCAATCGCCTTTCTATGATCAGGAGATAGTCAAATCATCACATCCTAACACCGTGGCTCACATAGGTTTCGGTCTCGCATCAGCTCGCCCCACCCTCTACCAGAGTCTAATCTTTCTGAATACCCACCAAACAACTAAGGAGTTCTTCTGTAGAGAATGGTTATTCTTCCAGCGATATTGTTTTTGTGAGGATTTGGCCTTTTCCTTTACGTCAGAGGTCCGCGAACCCAAGCTCAAACACATATCCGAGGACGAGCTTGACGTGTTCAACGAGGTGGCTAATACGAATCTTATCCAGGGTATCTGACTCAGAGCCCTTCCATGGGTTCCGTGTAAAGGCACTGTCAGAGACATGAGCAGCGGGATATCCATACTTTGTTGCGGCAGCATGATCAGAGCCTGCAAAGCCACCCCCCGTCTCGACCCAGAAGATAGAACAGTACTGCGTTGGTCAGCTCTACGTTGTGAGGGTTCTATCAGACATCTTACCTCGCGAATCACTCGCTTTAGAAAGTCATTTAGAGGATCGTAGGTGCCTGTGCTGACGATGTTGAAATAGTCTGGTAGACTCTGTTCCGACAGGAAGGATCCCGCCATGTCTTGGTTCAACATGGCTGCGACTGATATGTTTTGGTTCTTGTATTGCTGAAAGATGTCCAGGCTGCCCTTCAGCCCGGCGTCTCCAGCAGCGTAGAATTGAAAAACAACACGATTCTTGAAGTCCGAAAGTTTGTGGTTTCGTAGAAGGAGGTTCAAGGCCTCGAGTAGAACAACGACGCCTGATGCATTGCTGTCTGCAGCGGCTCAGTATTCGATCTTATCGGGTTGGCATCAGACTTACTTGCACCGGGAGCTCTTGCTGTATCCCGCTCGCTCTCTGCGACAAACTTATTGCTTGCATCGAGATGAGCTCCGACAATGATAGTCTTTCTCTTCTTGCTTCTCCCTTCTGAGATCTGCATTTCGATGCTGTTCTGTGGCCAGCTGTGCCTAAAGCGACCCAATTTCATCACGCCGGGTAACCTTTTCATCTCCTGGTAGATCCACTCCGAGGCAGCGACACCATGCTCCGACTGGTAATATCGGTTCTGAAAAGTGACCAAGGCCTCCATGTTGTTGGCGATTCTCTCCATGTCAATGCCGCGGATGAGGTTCCGCGTCTCTCGCTGTTGAACCATCCTCGTAGGGTAGTCCTGGTCCACATCTTGGAGGTCTGCTAGCGGAGGGTCAATGAGATCCGTCAAGTCGAAGAAGGACCTATTAGGCTGCAGATATTAACGCGGAACGATACCGGCAAATCCTGCGGTACTCACCCGAAGGATCCTGGCTCTTGCTACAGTATTGAGATGACGGAGGTCGCTAGGGCCAAGCTGGACGCGCGCAATCTGGTCACCGGACGTCAGGGACGCCAGTGTAGACTCGGGCGCCACGAACACAGCAGCAGCAATGCCAAAGATTATAGTACTGTACATGATGATGGTCTTGGGTATCTCAGTTGGCGTTGCCTGTGCCGAGCTCTTCAGCATGATGAAAGGTCTAGGACACTGCGTTTTAAAGAAATCTGCGGCCATTCTTATGTCATGGGAAGATCAAAATTGAACGTTTCACCGGGAAAACCTTGTGAAGTCCAGAGCTAGGATAAACTCTAGGAGGCTCATGTGTAAAATTAAATTGCGAGGATACATGATCACTGCATCGATGGCATCCAGGAAAGAACATTGTGGGATGCAGTGCCGGCGTTGTCATTTACGGGTGGCCAAGCTCGCCTTGATTGGTCATGTATGAATGGGGATTTCTTGCTTCTGAGACTCATTCAATACTTCATAGCGTGCTAAATCCTTCCTCGCTCCAAGAACGTGTTCGGAATGTCTACATGCTTCGCCCGAATATATTCGCACAGGTTCTTCCCTAGGCTGTCAAAGCTGCTGGTGGAGTTGAAACCACGGTCCAGATGATCCTTCAACAAGAAGTGAACCGCTCGAATGTTAGGGAACTCACATCGATCGATCTGGTTTCCAACATCATCCTTACCCAACATACTTCTCAACTGTTTAGTGGTCATGATGGTCCTCAGCCAATTCCATTCGTCGTCGTGGCGAACAAATAGGCCCAGGTTGCAATTGGAACTCTTGTCGCCAGAACGTCCCATGGCCACCCAGCCGATGGGGCCCCTTGTAGTCGGCCCAAAATCCTCGAGGTTGGCAGGGGACTCGGTCTCGTAACTGGGCTGCTCGCGGGCATACTCTCTCGTCACCACCGGTGACGGAATGTCCAGGACCCTACCGTCTGGCAGATGCACCGTCTCATTCACGAAACTTTGTGGCAGCAGGCTGACCCAGTATTCAAAAAATGGCCTTCCGATGGCTGTGCGCATGTCTGGCGCCATTGTGCTACCCGGATAACCCTGAAGAAGGTTCTCGATACAAAATCGCGCGAAGGAGCCACGATCCGAATCGACAAAGTTATTTCCCGAAAGCAGATCCGGGTCGCGCGTCTGGGCGAAAATTCGCATATCGACAGTGGCTTCTTCCTGGGATTGCGGATCAGAGGGGACATTTCCGGCCACCATGAATTTTAAGCAGGAGAAGCGCTTGATATGGTGACCCATGAGTGCCCTAGTCTGGCGCTCAACCATTGCGGCTTTCTCAGCAATATCAAGTCCCGTTAGGTAGAAGTGAAACTCGGCTTGCCAGCCGCCCTTGGCTGTGATACCGACTGCTCGAGTTAGTCATGTTCTGATCCTGCCAACGCATGATTTACCTTTCGTCGTAGAAGGAGGTGGTAAACCCTTCACGCCTGAGACGTGCACGGCATTCTCGCCGATTTCCTGGAGATACATGTCTTCGATGGAGGCTGTAACATCCGAGTTGTAATACAAAGGTCCCTGAATCTCGTACAGGAGCTGACTAGCGACAGTCTGCGTATTGACCAGACCATGTTTGCCTTTCTCCATGGTGATAATGGCCTCTCCTTTTTCGTCGATGGCAGCGATGGGATCTCGCACATGTCAGCGATGGTCAAATGGCCAGTAAACAAAACTTACATCCCATATCCGTGTCCTTGCCCTCCAGGTCCTTGAAACCAGAGTAGTAGCCGCCTGTGGCATAGGTGCTGCACTCGATGATATGTCCAATCATTAGTGCACCCGCCAGCTCGGTCAAGTTTTCGCGTGTCCAGCCATGCCACCACATAGCAGCACCGACTGTCACTGAAGCATCTGCGACCCGTCCACAAAGTACGATGTCTGCGCCATTTCTGAAGCATTCGGCAATGCCTGTGCCACCGAGATAGCATTGTGCGCAAACGGGGTCGAACCCCCACTCTTGGATAGGTTTATTCGCAGGGAGATTGGGAAACGTTTCGCCTTCAACTTGTTAGTATTTATTTTGACATGTGAAATGAGGTATGGTATTTCACCCTTTTGATACAGATCCAGGACAGCGTCAGTCACATCATCGCCATCCACCACGCCAACCTTCAGGTCGACGCCGTGTTTCATGATCAGCTCCTTGACAGCCAAAGCGAGGCCATGGACGTCACTTGCTCCGGCGTTGACAGCAATTTTAATTCCCCGGCTCGCGAGATGAGGAATCGCAGGGTCCAATTCGTCCAAAAAGTACGGCTCGTATCCCTTGGCGACGACGGTCGAGCCAGAAGACATCTTTTTCTGGGCGAGTCTGTCACGCTTGTCGGAGCCGCGGAGAGTCATATTACACTCAGACATCCAATCGCCGGTAATGACATCAACGTCTTCATTCTTTGCCATGTCATGAATCGCTCTTTTGCGATCGTAGACACCTGAGGGTGTTAGGACTGGTTCCTCACATCGAAATTCTGATCAACGAGACTGACCTCCAGAGCAACCCGCGATGTTGATGGGCCGCTTGGCAACATGCCCGTTTGTCTCACGATGGCCATTGTTGGTTGCGCTTGGTGCCATTACGTGGAATTCGTGAATCAAATTATGTAATCCGGAGTGGTTGTACTGCAGCGTTCAATTGATGTTTTTGATCCGGTTCAATTGCAAGTTTTGGGGATTAAAACACATACAAGTGACAGTGGCTCACGATCTAGTGCATAAATACTCGACATCCGAACAATTTATACTGAGCCCTGTGATTCGTATCCATTCGCAACGGTGCCCCCGAGTAGCGGGGAAACACTGCTGAATCGTGCGTGTCTCGTTGTAGTGAACTAATGATTCAGTACCCGTCAAAAGGTATTTGGGGTGCTGGCGGGTATCGTTCCCGGGCTTCGGGGGAAGATTTACCTTGATCGCCCTAAACTTGACTCCACATCAACCTTTGACTCGGTTGAACCCTGGTCTCGTCGGAATGAATCAGTTGCTTGTCGATCACGAGCCTGGTCTTCTCTTCTATCAAACGGCAGCTGGCAGATAGTACTGTCTTCAAAATAATGATCGCGAGATCGAGTGGACCGAAGACCACACAAAGCTCTTGAGGGCCTTCCTAAAACGAGGTGCAGGGAGTAAATTGATGACTATGGCTCTTCTACTTTTCTCTCATCTACTTGTGTAGGAAACCTGCCACCAGCCTGAGAAATGACCACTCGATGCCAGTGCGCAAATGTTTCGTGTCCCTGATGCTTGCCGCGATAGCATCACTTTTGACATGGATATCTTTCAGGTATGCCTCGCTCTCATAGGCCTCCATTGTGAACAACCTTTCAACAGTGCCTTCATCCTTCAATATGCCATAAACCAAAGTGCCCACTTCCTCCTCGCGGCCTTGATCCACAACAGCCTGCCAATATGGAAGGGACGTACCAACACCTCCAACCATGTAATTGAGTTCCGCGATGATGATCCAAGGGTCGGTATGTTCATTGACCTGTTGCCGCGAGAATTGAAATGAATCTGATGGGTACGTGAGGATATGCATCGTCGGAGGCTTTGGTCCAACGTTTTCACCCATCCAGGCCCGCATGGCGTTGACAGAGGGAAGAGACATGTGGTGGTCGAAAGCAGCCTCGTTAACGTATCTTCGCATATTCTGTCAGTGACATTGCCTGCTTGGTTGTGGCTTGGGCGCGAACGCACTCCTCAACCACCCAGATGTCTGTCTCCCTAGCAATATCGCGCGATGTAAGGACGGCATATTTCAGCGTCCCATCTTCGTTTACCTGGGCCTCATGGGCGGATTTGGCTAGTTCGTTGATGAACTGTCATGGTCAGAGGTTATACCTTCTTTGTAGGAGCAAGCCCTGTAGGGTAGGTGCTTGCCTCGTCGCGTTTCGCCACTGACGCTGTTGGCACAATCGCGATGACAAACTTGCGCTTGCTGAGGGTGGCCATCGTGCGATTATTGTTGAATTATTTCAAGTTTTCTTTCTTCCCGCTCCTACAAAGTCCGCTCCACAGGATGTCATGTGGTTTAAGAGGCCTGGTCGATGCAATATTCCCCGCAATTCTCCAAACCTCTCGCATTTGCTTACCCGGCTGGCACCATCTCACGGGCAAACAAACGGCGTCATCCTCCCATACCCTACCCACAATGATGCTTGACCGCATCAATCGTTCTGTAGTTCTATGCCAAAGTTTGGGCCTCTGTAGATAAGATGAATGTATGCCAATGCTTAACCCTGAAAAAGACGTGCTAGTCATCAGATATCGACGCTGGTTTGGCAACGTACCACTTGAAAAACCATTGCCTTTCATCGATGGCTTTTACCTCAAGAACGGAAGTCAAAGACTAGGCTGTCGTCATCACACACATGTTGCGTCACCTTAGGATATCTGGCAATGCGCTGAGCAAATGATTGGGAAGTAGAGCAGCCATCGACTACCAACAGAATATATGCCAAAGCTTACATTCTCGAAAGTGACCCAAAGGGCAGCATCATGAACCTATTTGGGCGTTCAAGGGCCATCCATATGTAGCACTGGGAAGCAGACAATGCAAATACGTGGCTATGATTGATTATCTATAACTTGGAATTGATGTGTCGGTTTCCTAACTTTAACGAACACATTCCATCAGTCATGTGAATCAGCTGTTTCCTCAAAATCTTGCCTGTAGCGTTCCTGGGTAGTTTGTCAACGAGCCATACCCCGCCGCGAAGCTTTTTGTATCCGCTGACTTGACCATCGACAACAAATTGCACGTCTCTCAACACTTGTTGTTTCTCCTCTTCAGACAAGAGATTGTCTGTATCCTTGAGTACCACCCATGCTGCGGGCAACTCCGTGAGTTGGCCATCATCCCAAAGCGCCCCAACACCCCCCTCAGCTACCAGCGGGTGGGAGTTCACATACACCTCAAGCTCTGCAGGGCTCACTTGGAATCCCTTATACTTGATAAGGTCCTTAGTTCGCCCAACAATAGATACTCTTCCTTGCTCATCTATGCGGCACACGTCGCCAGTGTTGTACCACCCTGGCATCGGAAAGGCCCGTTCGTTTGCCTCAGCATCGAATGCATATCCTCTCGAAATGTTGGGCCCACGCAGCCACAATTCTCCTGTTTCCCCATCTGGCACATCTTCCACCCCTCCCTCCTGTTTGAGACACGCCTCGATTCCGGGTAACAACTTACCTGTGCATCCGTCGTATAGAACCTCGTCATATTCCTGATAAGCGACGTATCCGGCTGCTTCCGTCATGCCATAGGCTTGACAAAGCCGCCATGGCGCTCGAGCCAGGAGCTTCTCGAGCTGAGCTTTCTTGAGCGGCACACCGCCAACAGCTATGACGCGTGCAGCGGAGAAGTCGTATTTCGCTGTCACGTCCGAGTCTCCCAAGGCCAGGACAACACTTGGAACGCCCTGGAACGACGTGGCTTGCACGGAGCCAACCAGTCTGGCGAATTGCTCCAAGTTGTAAACTGGCATCGCATGGTGAAGCATGCCTGCGTAAGGCCCGAGGAACAGTGGCGCTGTTGTGTTCGCAATATGGGCCCACGGCGTGAAGGCAACCGTGCGCGCGGCCGGATGGAACATCTTGTGCCCCCCTGGCGCATCGAAGGCGAGGAGCTGCAAGACGTTTGCGACAAAGTTTTGGTGAGTGAGCTCGACGCCTTTGGGCTGACCTGTTGTTCCCGAGGAGAGATGGATGGAGGCAAGACGGATTGACGTATCGTCGAAGTGCGGAACCGGAAGACGCGTCGCGGCGATAAAATCGGACGATATGTGTTTCAGTCCGGGAGCAGGAAGGACGATAGAAATTACACGAGGCCGAGTCCAACTCCCCTTTTCTTTGACGAGCATCTCGGCGGCGAAATCGAGAGCCTGTTCGACCACATGGACAACAGGGCCATATGCAACAACAAAATGCGGGCGGGCGACTGCGAGCCCTGGACCTATTTCTGAATACCGTAAGGCATGGTTTACAGGACAGACTACACCACCGGTCCACAGGATAGCATGGAATATCTCGAGAAAGTCTACGCTGTTCGGTAGCACGATGGCCCAGCGTGCTTGGTCTGGTGGGTTCAATTGGTCGTACAGCCCTTTTGCGAGACGACCAGCTCGATCTCGGAGCTCCCCCAGAGTCGTACTTCTGTTGGTGAGGCTATCGGATGCAATGAGGTGTGATTCGGGAATGGGAAAAGCTGTGGTGTGCAATAGTTCAGTAAGATTGAGGTCCCTGGGAATGTTGATGTCGGATGACTTGTAGATTTTCATTTTGACAGATTAAATGCACTGTTGATTAATTACAATCAGTGCCGGAGCATGCTACTCGAGGAAGATATGTATGTGGTGAATGTAGGTATTGTCGCAATGACATCCAGGGGCAAAAGTTAGCCACGGCCTCTGACACAGCCTTTCGTTGGACTCTTACCATTAGAAACCAAAGATGATCAGAGGTTGATGACAGCCGTGATGCAGGACAGGCACGGAACAATTCCCCGGCAGCTAGCTAACCATGCCAATAATCCTTTGACCCGATACTCAGTCATATTCCTCGCCATCGCAGAATCAGGGTTTCTGCACAAGAGACCTTGGGTGACCTCCAGGTGCCATTCTGAATCATTAGTGCTACCCCGCGTTCACGCCTCTTAACCCCCTTTCGTTGTCTGATGACCATGGAAAAGCGACTCCGCACCACTGTCACAACTGACGAAGGCGCCACCCAAGGCATGTGTGCGGCGGCCAAGGATCACTCTAGTATTGGCTTGAAGGCAATGCATCCGTGGTGGCCTTGCGAACCTCGCGCTCGAAAGGTGCTTCCATGACACGACACAGAGACCGCGAACGATTTATGGCTCCTGTCACAACAGGACTCGGGAGTCAGCAAACTCTCCTCTGAGATCATCGAAATTGCCACCATGTTCCATCGACCCATTCGCATCGGCAACTGCTCTGGGGCAATTAATGATGGCATTGACCAGATATATCGCCTCGCGAAGCATGGTCAGGTCGACGCCATCACTGCCGACTACCTTGCTGAGTTCAACATCGCGTGGAAAGCCATAGAGCTTCAGACAGATCCTGCGTCAGGCTATGAACCGAATTTTCTTGAGCAGATTGCCTGGCACAACGGTGATGCAGCGCGACTCGTCGCCAAGAAGCGTATCAAGATTGTGCACGATGGTGGAGCGCTCAACCCCCGAGGTCTGGCGGAGAAGACAGACGCCTATCTTCAGAGTATCGGAATCCACAACTTGAAGATTGCGTGGGTAAGCGGCGATGATGTTACAGAGAAAGTTCGCAGTGGCGGCTTTGGGACAATTCCTCACCTGGATCAACCAGGCGTGCAGCTACGTCTTGAGAACGAGAAGTTGCTGGCTGCGAATGTCTACACTGGATATGCTGGCATCGTCAGGGCTCTGGCCGAAGGTGCGGACATTGTCATCTGCGGGAGATGCACAGATGCTTCACCGGTTATGGGCCTCGCGGCCTGGTGGCACGGGTGGAAGGCAACAGACTATAATGCGTTGGCCGGCAGCCTCATGGCTGGTCATCTCATTGAATGCGGTCCATACGTCACGGGCGGCAACTATTGCGGTCAACGCGAACTCCTGGACATGCAGAGATTGGGGTGGCCGATTGCCGAGATCGACAGCGAAGGTGGCGTCGTTATCACGAAGCCTGAAGGCTCGAACGGCATTGTCACTGTCGACACATGCAAAGCACAACTGTTGTACGAGATCCAAGGGCCAATATACCTCAACCCTGATGTCATTGCTAACAATCACGGTGTCAAACTCACGCAAGTCGGCACTGACCGCGTACGTCTCAGCAACATCAAAGGCCTTCCGCCGCCGCTGACAGCCAAGCTTGCGGTGTGTCTACTTGGCGGCTTCCAAGCTGAGATCCCTATCTATGCTGCAGGACTTGACACGGATTTCAAGTTCAATGTACTCAAAAACCAAGTCCTCAAGACCATTGATCGATCCGCCTTTACGGCATTCACGATTGAAAAGTACGGCACTGCACAGCATGATCCGCGCTCGCAAGCAGCTGCAACGGTGCAGTTCCGCATCTTTGCGCAGGGCTCTCGGGCTGAGGCCTTTGACGACTTCAAGCGCGCCGTGTTCTACAACGGTCTTCAAGGTTTCTGCGGATTCCACGCGGGTATGGATTGGCGGACCATGGTACCAAGGCCGTATGTCAAGTACTTTCCGGCGTTGGTGCAGCAGGATAAGGTCCCAATGGCGGTGCATTTCATCGACGGAAAGAAAGATGCCGTATTAATACCTGCGAGAGACGCAAAGGACTGTGTTCAAGCCCCGACACAGCCGACTGATGAGCCGAAAAGTGCCGCGTCGTCCTCAATGATGGGCAAGATCTTCCCTCCCGGGATGACGCGACGACCGCTGGGAGACCTCGTTTTGGCAAGAAGCGGTGACAAAGGAGGAAACGCGAACATCGGTTTCTGGGTCAGAGATGAAAGTGCATATGCATGGCTTCAAGGCTACCTGACAAGCCAACGTGTCAAGGAATTGCTAGGGGATGACTGGGACGATAGGTATCATATCGAGAGGTGCGAGTTTGTCAACTTGCAGGCGGTGCACTTTGTCATCAAGGGCATTTTACAGGACGGAGTGAGCAGCAGCAACGTGCTCGACGGATTTGCCAAAAGCATGGGCGAGTTTGTCAGGGCCCGAGTCATCGAGATGCCAACTGAGCTTGTCCAGAATGAAGCACAGCGGAGGAAGATGTTAGCGGCCAATGCCGGCCGGCCAAAACTGTGAACCTAGAGCCAGCCAACACAACAAGGAACTCAAAGAAACCAGTCGGCCCAAATTTTGTGCGTGAGGCGCCTCAATTAGTGCATCACATCGAAAGCAGACTGACACGACCCGAGATTGCCCGTTCAGACACGCCGACATTGAGCACCGCGAGTGCTGAAGTGAGAACAATAGATGGCACTACCGGCCTCGGTTGTCTTTAGCACGAAAGCAGGCCGACCACCTGACGCTATAATGCCTCCTCCCCTGGTGACCGTTATCCGGTTCAATCCCCTTGCGTTAAACCCGTTGAATGCCCGGGGATGGGGAACCGAGCCAGCAGGACATGCAACCGAGGCTACTCTGGGGAAGCCGGAGTCACAGGAGCAACAAGCTCATAACAGGCCGTCCCAGATTCCCTTGCTCCGGCCCCTGTCGGCACTCAATCATGCGATGCGATCTGAGTCACCCCACCACTGAAATCATAAGCTCCCAGACCGCCCCCTTCATCCCACGTCACCGATCATGTCAGTCAACACCACCGACGAGCCCACCAAGAACGCATCAGGCCGTTACGACAACGTTGACTTTCGAAAGGCAGCTGGCTACAAATATCCTCCCATCAAGTGCAGCTACAACCGGCGCGATGTTCTTCTCTTCGTGAGTACAGGCCTAGTGACTCAGACGCCCGTGAAGAAACCCCACTATCACCAAAAGTTCCGGACAGCTAACACCTTAGACAGGCCAATGCGATCGGCGTTCCCAAGGACTCGCTACACTTCTTATACGAGCTTCACCCCGCCTTCGCCGCGTTCCCGACCTTCCCCATCAACCTCGCCTTCAAGCAGACAGACCAGGATATCTTCGACTTCATCGCGCGCACAACGACAGGCGGCGTTCCAGGCGTTCCGCCGTTCGATGCTCAACGTTCTGTAGATGGCGAGCGCGCCATTACGGTCTTGCGGCAACTGCCTGTCTCCTCAGACGGCCTCGACCTTGAGGTGCGCGGCTGCGTCATCGGCGTCTACGATAAAGGTGGCGCCATGATTCTCGAGGCGGAACATACACTTGTAGACGCCAACACGGGGGTTGAGTACACGAAAATGGCGAGCACAGCATTCGGCATCGGTCAGGGCGGATACGGTGGGCCGAGGGGGCCGACGAAGTCGACAGTCAGCATCCCCGCTACGACACCGGACGCCGTGCATGTGTATCATACGAGCGAGACAACAGCTTTGCTGTATCGGCTGTGCGGCGATTACAATCCCATGCACGCAGACGAGGAGTTCGGGAAGAGGGCTGGTTTCAAGGGATCGATCTTGCATGGGCTTGGCACGTGGAACATAGCGGCGCAGGGGCTGCTGCGAGAGATGGGTGGGTCAGACCCAAGAAGATTCAAGTCTTTTGGTGCGCGATTCAAGAGTGTTGTCTACCCAGGAGACACTCTTGAGACCCGTATGTGGCGAATGGGCAATGAGGGTAATTTTGACCTCATCTTATTTGAGACGGTGGTCAAGGAGGACGGAAGGGTTGCCTTGTAAGTTGCTGATCAGCTTGACGTGACTTAATGATGTGCTGACCAGTGCCCACAGATCCAACGGGTTCGCAAAAATACTCCAGCGAGATACCAAGCTGTAATCTACGACGATGATGAGGAGTTCAACTGGTCGAGGCACGGGCGGCTAAGCATTTCCACCAGCATAGCAGTGTCTCACTCGGATTAGGGAGGCTTATGAAGTCATGATTTTAGCGTATTTGATCTCTATGTGAAGACCCCCCCCCCCCCCCATTTTGTGCTACTGGATTATTTTCTTGAATTCAACTGGAAACTTTTCATGACGATTGCAAGGTTAAGTCTAGTGTAATGAGTTTGTGATCTACCTCACGTATGTTTTGAGCCTGGCATGAACTGATGCTGCGATTTCTGTTTAAAGGTGCGAGGGCACCCATTTAGGTTGTCTCTTCTCCTTGTATGCATTCAACCCTTCGTCAGCGTTCGGTCCTCTCAACATCTTGTCCGCCCACAACTCCTGTCCCCTCATCGTGGCCCTGCTGACCCCCGTCTCCCAAACTTCCCTTGCCGCCAGGCGCGAAATAATAACGCTATCTGGACTCAGACTCGCAATCTCTTCAGCATAGGTCAAAGCTCTACTCAGCAACTTGCCCTGCGGTACAATCTCCTTGACAAGCCCCCACCGCTCAGCCTCTTCAACACTCATTTGCCTTCCAGTCAGGATCAAATCCATTGTCCGATGATTCCCGAACAATAGCATGGCCCTTGGCAGTGCCCCCGCCAGCGCCGAAACTCCTCTCAAGACCTCTGGCAGCCTAAAAGTTGCGTTCTCCGACGCGAAGATGACATCTGCGTTCAGCAGTGCCTCGAAGCCCCCGCCATGAGCGTGGCCGTTGCACGCGACGACGATTGGTTTTTTGCCCGTGCGATTGCTCATGCCGGCGAATTGGCCAGACGGGTACTCAAAGGCGATATCGCCCGTCCGCACCATGTCGCCGCGTTCCTTGAGGTCCATACCGGAGCAAAAGGCCTGGTCACCAGCACCGGTGAAGACGGCGCAGCGGAGCCCAGGCTCGGCATCGTACCACTTCCAAAAGTGACCGAGCTCAAGAGTCGCAGTGATTGGCAGGCAATTCATTTGCCGAGGGCGGTTGATGGTGACAAGTAAGACATGAGGGCGTGGGAAATCGACGTTACAGTGAGTGAGGTGAGGATAAGGGGTTTCGATCCATGACGGTACAGGGTTCCTGGTACGGGGCGCTGTCATCGCAGCTGGCGAAAAGACGTGGATAGAGAGTAGGCGGCTGATTTGCGGCAGTTGGTTCCAACGGCTGTCAAAAGTCGGGATGTATGTCTGGAAAGGGGTTCGCGACGGTCAAATTTGATGCGTTGATAGTTTTCTCCCAGGCTTTGTAAAGCCTCCCACATATCTTTCAGACGACGAATGCATCCACACTGAAAACATACGATGGTCGTTGATTGCCATCCTGGCATTCTTCCTTTCATTACCCGTCAAAGGTCCCCGTCTCAGCCATGATTCATTAGCGTCGTGGTCGATCGTTGCCCCTCCCCCAGATTTCGTATGCATGTCAGTGGAATATGCGGGGTAGACCAGGGTGATGGCCATATCACGCTCGGAGTATGTTAGCCACGCGAAGCAGTTCCCATCGGGTTAGAGGATGAGCCTTCGCATAGGATTCGGAGAGCTTCAGTTCGGTTAAAATCAGTTCACGGCTGTCTCGGCACTCTCCTCGGCGGAGCCCTGGCAGCAGGCTCGGTGCGAAGGCAAGGGTCCGAGTTGGTCAAATGTGCCGAACAGTACCCGCCATGCCAAGGTTGGATGGGGGGGGGAGCTGATGTGTCAATGTGTACGAAATAATTCAATGAATTTCTTCCTTGCTTGGAACTTGGTCGAAAACTGAACACTTATCGCTTCACCACTTGCATCATCTCGCTCACGATGGCCTCTCAGCATATGACCAAGGCTGCTCCTCCATTGACACCAACCTTCCTCGTTCTGACGTTTCCGGCCCCTCGTATCGTCCTCATCCGCATGAACCGGCCTGCGGCCCTCAACGCTATGTCAACTGCGGCTCAGTGGGAGATGGATGCCATCTGGAAGTGGTTTGATGACGAGCCAACGCTCTCCGTCGCCATTATCACTGGTACGGGCCGCGCGTTCTCTGCAGGCGCCGACCTCAAGGATTGGAACAACAGCATGGACAGCAATGCTGACCCCAGCAAGAGAATGGGCAATACGCCCGCGTTCACCCCATTGAGTCGTCGCCTGGGCAAGAAACCCGTCATCGCAGCAGTCAACGGCCTCGCCATGGGGGGCGGCTGCGAGTTCGTGGTCAATTGTGACCTGGTCATTGCGGCTGAGGAGGCCGTCTTTGGACTGCCTGAAGTCAAGCGAGGCATTGCGGCAATTGGAGGTGCGCTACCTCGCTTGATACGGACTATCGGCCTCCAGAGAGCAAGCGAATTTGCCTTGACCGGAAGAAACGTGACGGCCAGGGAGATGGAGGCATGGGGCATAGTGAACAAGGTTGTGTCTCGAGAAAGCCTCATCGAAGAGGCCGTTCGTTACGCAACTATGATCGCTGTCAACAGTCCCGATGCCATCATCTGCACAAGAGCTGGGCTCCGACAAGGATGGGAAACAGCACCCGTGGAGGGGGCTGTCACTATCACACTAGAGAGGGAATTTGCGGAGTTGCAAAGAGGAGAAAACATAATCGAGGGACTACAAGCCTTCGCAGAAAAGCGAGAGCCTATTTGGAAAAGTAGTAGACTGTGAGAGCCTGGTATTTCCGAAGCTAGTCATCCATACACAATGAAGCGATGTGCAGCCTAATATTATGTTGTCCTCGTGGAACGCGCGGATGCGTTGATGCAGCCGGCCGCGTTAGCTAGTCTCAGGCTTCGTAACAGTACATCCGATTATGTGCCAATGCTTGCATGATGAAAATTGACAAAAAAACAGTGTGGTACATTACTAGCAGAGCACCATTTCAGACAGAGATTAGCGGTCGTTCGAGCTAATGATTCAGTGTGGCTCGGATTGATCCTGGACCCCGAAAACCCGCAGTTTCATACAACGTGAGACGAATGCCCTGCTTCGCTTTTCCCCGCTGAAGGACTTCTACCCGTAGTCGCCAGGGTCCGGCGGGGTTGGCGCCCAGCATGGGCATTTCAAAATGAATGGTCTGGTTCGTGACCAGTCGCCTACTTTTCCGCAGTCTGTGGCTTGCTCACTCCATCTCGTAGCAAAGCACCAACGGCAGTATTTGATCTCTTGTGTTGTCTCTCGCATTGCCAAACCAGTTTCGTACAAGAGGCGTGGGTATATTATAAACTGATGTGCTTGGTTCCCCCGATTGCTCCCACGAATCCTCTCGTTTGATCAAATTCAAGCAACTAATTCAATTGCAATGCATGTCAACAAAGTCGAGTCGGCACATGAGGTTGAGAGAGCAGGTGACGGAAGCATTGTGGTGCGAGATGATGCATCTTCCATACGCTCTGAGGCTCTGGGGGACAACCTGCCTCCTGGCTATTTTTACTCTCCTCGGTTCATTGGCTGCATGACGGTTGGTCGAGCCAGCGCATCACACATCAAAGCTCTTTTTAATTGATCTAGGGTTTCTGTCTTTCGGCAATTTCCGCCTACATCTTTCTTATCTTGCCAACTAATGTCCTGACGTACATCAACGCCGACATTGGTAAGTGTATTGACATTGGCACTGAGTACATTCAGAAGTACTGACTATCGAAGGACCGAGCCCCTACATCTCATGGGTCAATATCGCCAGGACCCTCGGCCTTTCTTTCTGCTACACCATTCTCGGCCGCCTTTCAGATCTCTTCGGTCGAAGATGGTTTTTCATCGGCGGAAACTGTGTAGCCCTAATCGGAATCATAGTTTGTGCAGCTGCGCCGAATGTTAACAGCCTCATCATCGGTGCCGCGATATATGGTGAGTCGCTCTCTTTCCGTACAGCGCGATTCATTGACTTATGTGGCCTAGGTGTCGGAGAGACTGTGCAACTCAGTTTCAACGTAGCCATCGGCGAGCTGGTGCCAAACAAATACCGACCCATGGTGCTTTCGTTTGTCTTCCTGACCAATGCGCCCATCGCCACCTTTGGTCCCATCATCGGTATGTTCTGCATGCCAACATACAACGATCGGGCTGACTCGATGATAGCCCGCAAGTTCGTGAACACACCTAGCCTTGGGTGGCGCTGGTGCTTCTACATCAATATTATCTGCGTTGGCTTAACAATCATTTTGCTGTACTGTTTCTATCACCCGCCCACGTTCAATCTATTGCACGAGCGTAAGACCAAGAGACAGCTGATGAGGGAACTTGACTGTAAGTTTGTCTGGATATCTTGCTGATGCATAGATAGCTAATCCATGAGTAGATCTCGGGATCTTCCTATGGACGGCGGGTCTGACCCTTCTCTTGATGGGTGTCTCCTGGGGTGGCAACATGTACCCCTGGAAATCAGCAGCAACGATTTCGAGCCTGATCATCGGCGCGAGTCTCCTTGTGGCGCTATTCTTTTGGGAGGGCTATGCGGACCTGAAATATCCTGCCATCCCCATCAAGTTTTTCCTTAATCGTGGCTGGTTTAGTCTGGTCATATGTGCGACCGTCGCAAGTGTGAGTGGGACATGTTCATGCATGATTAAAGTATTCTGACAGTGGTAGATGTTTTACTACTCGGCTGTCCTGCTCTGGCCTCAACAAGTTCAGGCACTGTACACGCGAGATATCACATACGCTGGATGGCTTTCCGTAAGTGCTCCAGCTTGCCGTGAAGGGCCCAAGCTGACTTGTTGCAGACCACCGTGGCGAGCTCTACAGCACTCGGGCAAATTGTAGCTGGCGCCATCGTCAAGTGGGGAGGCAATGTCCGGTACTGGATCATCTTCTCGACGTTCGCCATGGTGGGCTTCGTAGGCGCTTTAGCGTCCCTGACCCCTGAGACGAAGAACACTGGAATCGCCCTGACCATCATTGGTCCTTTCTTTGTCGGTTTCATTGAATTAGCAGCTCTGGCCCTGGCACCTCTGTATTGTAAGCCGGCAGACATCGGCCTTGCGTCGGGTCTCTTGGCATCGATCCGGTCAGCAGGAGGTTCCGTCGCGGTCGCCGTTTATACGACCATCCTAGCTAACCGACTCTCGACGACCATCCCATCGAACATCGCCGGGCCAGCGATCGAGGCTGGTTTACCGGCGGACCAGGTTGGTGCTCTAGCCGCTGCTGTGCGCGCCGGTAAGATGGCCACTTTTCCAGGTATCACCGACTCGATTCAGGAGGCTGTGCGGTCTGTTCTGCCTGTAGCCTATTCACAGGCATTCAAGACGGTGTATCTGGCAAGCCTTGGGTTCGGTGGCATTGCCATAGTCGGTTGCCTATTCTCGAAGGACGCGCAGAAGCACCTAACAGACCGTGTTGAAAGGCGAATGGGAGATGGGAAGAGGAAGCCAGAATTGGAGGCGAAAACGGTTGACGATGATCCTCGTCGGGAATCAAGGGAGATCCAGGAAGGTGCCTAGCTGTCCCAAGCTGTGCACGTCACGGCGCAGCAGGGAACATCGCGCAAGGTATTATGTTTGGAAGATAGCTGAAGGATAAACTTTTGATATCAGATTAGTAAATCATCGTTCATGGAGCTCGGGTTGGCGTGAGACGTGACCATTGAGTTGGGTAAAGTCACCGGCTGGCTACGGCATCATCAGTCGCAGCGCGTTGCACTGCCCTGCAAAACGCCGTCATAAGCCACGGCGCGCCTACAGTGGCTATAGCGTCATGCCGGTTGCCCCCTCTACCCCGCCTCTGTACTAAGGCCTAATTACGTTAAAGTCAAGTCAGTCCCAAGCTTCGAGAACCTGAAGCCAGCCGTGAGCCCTGAGCACAATTTCACACGCAAAGTCCGTCTGCCAAGAGTATCTATTTGACACAATAATGTTGCTGGGCAGTGATTCATTGCTCGCGCAACATGGATGCCTCCCGGACGCCCAAGCCGCCTCGTCGGAACTCCGTGGCCCGATCAATTAATTCGGCGACATCGCCCTCCTCCGTCGATTCGACAGCTGCCCAAAATAGGATCTCAAGTATCGGATCTCGAGATGTTGAGCTTCAGAAAAAGCGAGCACGAGACCGCAAATCTCAACAGGCCATGCGAGATCGCAACAAGTGGGCGATTCACAATTTGACGGAACAAGTCGCAATGCTTACCCGCGCCGTCGAGGAGCGAAGCCAGCAGACAGCCATGCTCCATGCTCGTGTGGCTACTCTTGAGGTTGAGAATTCGCAGCTGCGGACACAGAATGCCGCGCTCCAGCTCAGCTTGATGGGGCGAGATGCTAGCACGACACCTTCGAGTGGACTACTGATCACGAGTCGCGAGCCCTGGGAGACAGCACCCAAGAACGCACAATCCACGTGCCTCGCAGATGAGATACTGCAAGGCTTTATTGCTTCTGTCAGGACTGACAACTTCCTATCGGCAACGAGCATGGTGGAAAGGGCGGCAGCGTACTCTCTGAAGCCCAAACTCTGCTCACTAATCGAACCTGACAGGAGCACGGAGGATGACATTAGCAATGTCGTAGCGGACATAGTGCGGTCATATCCCGAGATTGAGACTCTGCCAAAGCAGGTCGCTGTGTTCTGGAACATGGCACTGCTTCTCAAGGTTGGTTGAAGCTTGGTGCCCACCTTGAATCATTGCATGCCTTGCTAACATTTGGCCCAGTGGATGGTTCTCCTAGATCAGCAGAGTTGGGATCTGATGCCCGAATGGTTGCGTCCGACCCCAAGCCAACGCGAAACTCCCCACGCAGCCTGGATCGATCGCATACCTTGGTGAGGACGTCTCTTCAGTTCATCGGAGCAAGGAGCACCTGTTCACAAAACCACAGGCCACGCGCGCGCGAATACCTGATCGCACACCCCGACATCACTCTTGATGACTGGGCTGCCCCCTACAGCTCAAGCTTTGGCGTAAGCTGGACTTACGATCCTTCACTCGTGGTCATAGCCTGCATAGCGCCCGATTCGGGCAGCACTGAGCTATCGATTAATCCTGTCTACGAAGAGCACCTGCGACAACTGAGGAATTGGACCGTGGGCGACGTTTTCCGGCAACAATTCCCAGAAATTTCCAAACTCGTCGACGAGGATACTGCATTCTGAACTGGAGATCAGCCCTGCTTTCCTCTGTACACACCCGAAAGTTGTGTGACTAAAGCAGGAGCTCACATGACTGACGCCGCTGTCCACGTCCCAGTTTACTCGAAGCTGTCGATTCGCGCTACTGATTCATCACAGCTCCTTGGTCTGCCCATGAGAGCCGACGGACCAAATCGCGGAGTATGATTCCCGACCAGCGACGCTTAGGGGAGTCGCCACAGTGCGATCAGCACCTTACCTAGTCAGTGATTAACCTTCCAGCACCAGTTATCCCACTGAGGGCCAGCAAATGTGTCCATCTAGAGCGCTCGAAATTCATCCAAGCTTACGCCTCGTCAATGAGACGCAAAGCATCCTCGCCACCAACATATGCTTCCTTCATTGACTCTCTTTTCAAAGGACGGAATCATAATCAACAGATGCTCTCACACACTGATCGAATCAAAATGGCCGACCTCCATATCTATTACTCACCCTACCCGAACATTAAGGTGCCAACCACCCTTTCTGTCTCCCAGTTCCTCGTTCAAACGAATCCGGATGACGTGTCACCGGAGAAAGTCATTTGGCAAGACTTTGGCGATGAAGATCAGAAGGTCACATACGCTGGGCTTCGATCCAACGCTGCCTTCGATGCGGCATGTCTGAGGGAGATGCTGGGCCTGAAGGTAGGCGATGTCGTGTGCATCGTAGCCACTAATTCGGCTCTGTGGGCCTCTCTTGCGCATGCCATTCTTTGGGCTGGGGCGTGCTTCTCGTCAGTGTCCCTTTACTCTACACTCTCTTCCTGAGCTATCTCTAAAAGCAAACTGCAGAGGCATCAACCCGCAAGCTACAAGTCATGAACTCATCCACTATTTCTCTGTCGCCCGACCCAAGTTGATAGCAGCGGATGCGGAACAGATTACAAAGATCAAGGTTGCGATACAAGAATTACATTGGTCCACGGAGCCAACGATCATAGCCATTGGGAGTTCTTCAACCATTGGACCGGACCATCTCAGGGTGAGCCACATCCACGTATCCAACTGGTGTGCTCATACTGATGGACAGTCAGTATCCTCGTGACATTCGCAACGCTGCGGTTAATCCCATGTATCCGTTCGGCATATCGAATGGCGACAATACCAAAATACCGGCAGGCATGTGCTTCAGCTCCGGCACGTCTGGCAAGCCCAAGGCGGTCGTTTTATCTCACCACAACCTCATCGCGCAACTCCTCAGCGTGCGGGCAACAAACCCCTTCACCCACACCTCGACCAGCCGTGAGCCTTTCTTCCCCTCGTTTGCACATATTTATGGCATTGTATCCGGTGTTCTAGCACCCGCCTGGATCGGCAATTACGTGCAACCGATGAGACGGTTTGAGTATCATCCTTATCTCCAAAGAGCCGCTGAGCTGAAGGCCAACATACTGCGCCTTGTGCCTGCGACGGCTGTGAGGATGACCAAAGACCCAGAGATTAAGAATCTTGATTTGAGTGCCGTTCACACCATCATGTGCTCTGACTCACCGTTATCCAGAGATACGATTGTGGCACTCCAACAAATCTTAAACCCAGAAGCAATAGTTCTCAACGGCTACGGCATGAGCGAGGCAACCGTGACGCTCCTCCGCAACACTCGCGGTGGTCAAAAAGGTGCCAGCGTCGGAAAGCCAGCTGCGGGCATGGAGGTCCGCATAGTGGACGAAAATTACAACGATGTCCAAGAGGGCGTGGATGGAGAGTGCCTCATTAGAGGGCCGTCAGTGTTCATGGAGTACAAGAACAACGAAGCTGAGACTGCGGCAGCATTTAAGGGTGGATGGATGTGTACTGGCGATATTGTTCATGTCGACCAGGACGGTTATTTTTGGCTCACCGGTCGAAAGAAGGAACTCATCAAGTACAAGGGCCATCAAATTGCCCCAGCGGAGCTCGAAGAAGTGCTCCTTTCCCATCCCTCCGTCTCAGATGCTGGTGTTTGTGGCGTGAGGGACAAGGCTACGCAGGAAGAACTCCCAGTCGGGTTTGTTTCCCTCTCCACGGCCATGAGTAACAGAGATAGGAGCCAGACAATGAAATGTCTGAGTGCTTTCATGAATGAGAGGGTTGCATCTTACAAGAGGCTCAGAGGTGGGCTGTTCTTAGTCGAATCACTGCCCAAAAACAGCTCTGGTAAGCTGTTGAGAAGAGAGCTTGTCCTACTTGCGGAGTGCTTGAGGAGCTCACGACCTAGAATATAGCATAAGGCAAGGTATGACACCTACATGTCCGCAAAATTAGCCATGGGCCAGCTGTTAGTTGGTCTACTCCCTCCCGTTTGATTAAATGGCGTGGGTCCTCGTGCAGAAGCGCAAAACAACAAGGCAAAAACATACAACATCAGGGATTCGCTGGTGGTCACCCACCCAACTACTAGTC